CCGCTCTTAGTCTGACCCGTCACCCAGGACCTGTTTGCCTTGGGAGACCCTACCAGGGGCATATAGCCCCCGACAACATAGCTCCTAGGATCACTCGGATACTCAAACCCTTCCACCACAATAAGGTGGCGGTTCAAGGAGGGGACATTCAACATTACCCCTTCAATTTCCAACTTCAAACTGATCACCCTGTCTGACACTCTTTTCACCTCTAAAACATTCCTCACGAGCTCCTCCTTCAGGATCACTCCTACCCCATTTCTCTTCCTGTCCACACCATAATAAAAACAGTTTGTATCCCCCTCCAATGCTACGCACTTTGCTACCCATCTATTTTTCAATGCAAGGTTGTGCAAATAGTGATTTTACTAAATGTAGTCATTTTCCTACCTTTCAGGCAGTTTATTACCAGCTGGAACCAAGTTGTATTACATAACCCAGGCCAAAATTGGGAAGCTATGCTTTTTGTGGATTCTTTTATAACCTCTACAGCAGCTTGCTCTATAATTACTGTAAGTGTACAATGCATGCTGGAAATAATAACCTTGGAAAACATTTATCACAATATGAGCATATCACAGTTAAACTAGCAGAAAAACCCTGTTATTTAACACATACTGTTCATTTTAGAGATTGATAGGTATTACAGTAAATGGCACAACCCCAGTGAGTCTTGCTCATGTTAATACATCAGTCTCTGCAGAAGGGGACAGCCCTTGCTGGCACTACCCATAGTACTGTGTGGCACTGGTGCATGCTGCTGGTCTAGCTGGTGCCTGGATGACTATGGTTGATAGAAACATGCTGTCTAACAGACTCAAAGATTAAAGAGTCAAAAAGGGTCAGTATTGCTGTAAAAATTGAATTCCAAAACATAGTATGCAAAATCTGACAGCTGCTTGCCTCATTCTAGTGATTTCCTGACTTATGAAACTCTCATGTGAAGTTCTGAGGGCATGGTGTCAATTCTCATGCAACAATGAACTCTTCTACTCTGACTTGCTGTTGCTTCCAAAGATGACTGAAAGAAGGAGCCTGACAGCTCTTGATAGAACAAAAACATTTAGCTAAAGGACTGAGGTGCCACAATAAAGCTCTGTCATACTGAGAGATTAACAGTGAGTAGAGAAATCCCAGGCTGATTCTGCCAGAAGAAAGAGGGAAAACTCTGCGAGACGTATCACATCTTGGCAAGAAATCAGCGCTTATAGAGATCCCACACTTGTTAAGACACTGATGTTTAAGCTCTTGCTTGGTGGACTTCACAGAGTTATAATCTGCAGGCTGAGAGACAGGACGAGACATAAGAGTGGTCAATTTTTTCACATCTTTAGTTTTCAAAACTAAAGATGTGAAAGGCCTTTCAAGCTCCGCAGGGAATCCACAAATCAGCCACACAGTGTCAGGAAAAGTGACAACACAACTATGAAGAGAAAATTATTGATTTTATTTCTGAATCAAAGTCAGACTGTATTTATGATAAATGGGCCTTTTTAAGAAGCATGTCAAAACAGAACTCTATCCCTGCTAATGTCCTTATGATCTAAACTCATGATCTGTTTTATGCATTACAAAAGATGAAATACATATGCTAAATGAAAAACCTAATTACAAGACATTCCAGGTCTTTTGTGTAGCTTCACTAGACAAAATGCAAAGTCAGAAAACACCCCTCTGTGAAATGTGCACAATCTATCATTATCTCATAGCAGAAGTCTACAGTTGTACTGTATTACATATCCTAATCATTGTAAACAACACTATAAGAACACTCTTGCAGTGAAGTCTTGCATGGCAGAGATCATTCAGGCTGACTTAAGTGACCCAGTTTGTTTTTATATACAATTTAAAAGTGGAACATTTTCATGGCTGTGTTTTTCAGCACTCTGAGTTCATACAGTGTAAATGACTCAAAGATTAAACGTTTGTTCTCTATGCAATGTAAAAGGTGGTGCAGAAAATGTACTTGGATCTCAAAGTGACACAGGTTAAAGCAGCTTCCTTTCACATTTCAAACAGTTTTCCAAAACATGGTATAAACAAAAATTTACCATAAAAAGTCATGACTCAATTCATGTCAGTAGGATAAACATTTCACCCTGTTTCCCAAAGCTTTAGCCAACACCTCACATTGCAAGTAAATCTCAATAGGCACATGATAAGCATTAAAATGAAAATAAAAATGCTTTGTAGTGTAATTTTGTCATCTTTACATTGTCATTTCAAACCCAACAGATCTATTTATTGTCTAAAAAAATATTTAATATGCACTAATAAATCAACAAATGGCACAGGAAGACAAAATGTCAAAACAACGAAAGGAGAAACACAGCAGCATAGGTGGCAATATGGCAAAAGTCAAAGAGAAAGTGCAGAGCAACAGTGATCTGGACTAACAGGGAGAGATGAGGTATGTTTTCTTAGCTACATTGAGGAGCCACCGAGGTGACACCAAAATTAGGAACAAACCTGAAGCTGGAAAAAAGCCAGCGTATGTATTTGTCTTGATGAAATGTCTTTGGGTCTAAATCTTGGAGGAGGTGGGTGTTAGGGTCAGATGCTAACAGGCAGAGAAAGGGCATGTGAGAGGCTGATGCTGTCTGGTAGTGTTGTTGGTGATCAGTATGGCTCTGAGAATGAGCCAAATGATGGAACATTTTTGATGTCTGTCAACAGATCAGCTGACAGAAAGCCACCTGCTGCTCAGTCTGCAGTGTAGAGGTCCACAGTGCTGGAGCTCAGGCCCCGGCTCTGCCTGAAGTTACTGCCTCCCTGAGTCTTACGGAATCAGAGGAAATGACAGGGGAAGGATATATTGGTTAATACATAACATTTCCAATAATATGACATTAATGTAATACAACCTTTAAAACTTTGTACAAAGTGTTCCTCACTTGGAACGAGCCATCACTGGTTTTGTTCAGGTAATTCAAGGAAGCAGCTCGTTTCATGCTGTTGAACAGGAAGAAAAGAGGTCATACAGTATCTGAGATCAGGGTCCAGGCATAACATATTTATCCAGGTAAACAAGCAGTAATTTTCAATCTACTTAAAATAAAGTCATTACTTTTCCCCCAATGACATTACTTACTACTTCAATAAAAGTACATTATGCTTTTAAATGCCAGCTATCCATCACACCAGACTTCTGTGGTTCTTACTTGGTGTTGCGAGGTTCAGGAGGAATGTTGCTTTGCAGTTTCTTCACCAGCATCTCGCTGCTGCGACGCAAAACATCTCGGATCTTCCCCAAAGAGCTACTGCGCTGGAGAGCCCCACTGCCATCCTGCAGACACACACACGCTCATCAACCCATCCATTCTGCACCGACAGTGCAGAAATTCAGCACTTCAAATTGTTTTCTCATTTTTCTGAACTTTTGCAGACATGTTTGTTGGTGTTTTGCACAGGTTGTGTTGGCCAGTGGGTGCAGCCAAACAGTTTGATCATTTAGTTCCAACAATGGGGCCTATATGTAAAACAGCCTGTATATTTTGTACATATGTACAATGTTAATATGTTTTCTGATAAGTAAACTGTCAACATAATTTTCACTATTATTATCATCCTGTAACCATGAAACAAAATGCTGTACTGTAATTATGCCACACTTGCACAGCTGCACACACACATTCATCAAGCAAGGTTACTGATGTGAGGGTGTCACTGTGGGCCAGTGGTTGTGTTGTGTCATATTTTTCATTGGCAGGAACTTAAATGATTACTGAAAATAAAAATAATAGGCTGCTATTCGTTTTAAAAAGATTTTTAAAGCAAAAATGGCAGATCTGACTTTTATAAATACGTTAAGAAAACTGTGTGCACCTCCCAAAAACAAACGTCTTTGCACCAGGTGTGTAGGCCAAGGAGTAATAAGATTATAGCCCACAGACTGATTTGATACTCCACAAAATTATTTTTATTTAGGCCAAGCTGCCACGTTTAGACATTAAGTCTCCATCAGGTATTTACAGCTTATACTCTGACCTGATAAATATACATATATATCCTTCAAACTGATATCAGGTGGGACATCATACCCAGTCCAATCAGGACAAAACAACAGCACAATAACAATATGATGACTGAGGTCATGACATGACTTGGATTCACTATATTTATTGGGAGAATATGCAGTTTTATCTTCTCTTTTTTTTAAACCTAAACTGCCTATTTATAGGTTCTGGAAACCTAAAATGACTTTGAGATGTCATCTTAGGATATTATGATGGACACTGGCCATGTATTCTGACATTTTACAGACCAAATGACTAATCAATCAAACACCAGGAAATTCACTGACAAATTAGCTGATACTAAATGTAACAGTTATCCATCGATTCAGTCTTACATTAACAACCAGTACACATAGTATGTGCACCATCTTCTGAACTAGGTGGTTCCCATATCAATATTCTGTATACACAGTGTTTGAGATGTGATCATCATGTTGCGACACAGACTGATCACCGGCTGGGGGGTGATGCAGCTGAGTGGCTCTGCAGCCACCACTGGAAATGAAAGACACATACAAGAATCTGCTTCCACTGATGACAAATTAAGGTCTTCATCCGATATAGAGAAAAGACAGAATGTCACAAATGAAAAACTTTATTTGAGAATACTAACAAGTGTTGATGCAATAGTCATCACAATGCAATATGGTAAATATAACGCTGTCCTACTTACTAAGATAGTGCTTATAGACTTTACCATTTATGTTCTTCCACTTAAGGAAACTGAAGACACTATATATGTTAAGAATAGACAGTTCAATAAATAAGCATTCCACTAACACATATTGTCATAATTATGACATGAACAGAGCTCATTCTTTGTTCATGTTTGCATTAGAAGTATAGATATATTCACTGGAAGGAATGAAGAATCAAGGCAAGTAGCATACTAAAAAGCCATATAGTGAATGCACTTGTTGAATCTATAAACACAGCCGGCAATTACACTTCTGAGATGTTAAAGTCATTTGACATTCAGTTAGTGAAACATCTGAAATTACATGTTGACCTTGGGGAAACACTTGCACTGTACTTTTGGTGTCTAAAAACATAGTTCACCCAAGTGACAATGTTTACTGGCAAACAACTGTGTAAGAAAAAAGCAACATATTCCATTTAAACTTCTTTTGTTCAAAATACAGTATCCATAGCCAGAGCCGTCTGTGCACTATGACTGTACCACCAAAACATACACAAATACACACTAAAACTACTGTGGAATCCAGGCTTCCACTGAATTATAACTACTACTACTACTACTACTACTACTACACTATCAGATAAAGGCAATTCTAGGCATTTATGTCCCTTATTTTTAAATCTATTGTTATTTAGCTATCTCCCAGATGGCCAGTACCTGTGCTGGATGCTCAGGCTGGTCTCTGCCATCATGCTGGCTTTACAGCATCAGGCGATATTAATTCTCATTCCCTTTGTAATTGTGATACTGTGTACATACTGTGCAGCGCAGAGCCTGTGTGAACATTCTATGAAACCAAGGACACTGAAGCCAGTAAGAGCAACTTGAAAATAAATCACTATGGTGACAACAGCCTGCTGTGATCGGACCAGTTTGCTGTCTGCTTTGTCCTAAATGATGATGTGATCTCTAGTATTCACAACAGGTAACACTATGGCACAGCTGATGTACTACTGCCTTAATATTCAGCCACAAAGTCACCAAAAAGCAGTTACAAAAATGTAAACAAAGTCACAAAAATGAAAATGAATAAGAAAAAGCTCTATAAAAACAAAACTGACAATCTTCCCTTGTCATTTCCTGCCAACTAGGCTAAAGATTTTAAAAAGAAATGATTGTAAATATCTTGATTAGCATGTGCAACGTTACAGTACCATGTCAAACCTGTTTAACATTTGATATTAGGCATTAGTTTGAACTGAAAACACACATAATGGCAAGAAAAAAATTGATATGGCTAAATACAGGCACTAGAATAGAAGTGAGCTTTGAGGTCAAGGTTCACTCAAACTCAGCAAGTGTGGGAATTCATTATTTTGTATATTGCTCAATTTATGGTATCAGTAATTTTAAAGCCTAGGCTGCTGTCAAAAGGTGCCACTGAAAATCTTTCAGCATTTAATCTGTATGTTCAGCCTTCTTCCAATAAATCACATTTCCAACTTTCTACTCAAATACATCTACTATCTGCACATATAAAAATGTGTGTGTTGGATTGAGGAAAAATGTGCGAGTGATTTCCTCACAGGGAAAGATTACACACACACACAGTGACTGTTTTAATGGTAAGTGAGAGAAAGACCTGAAGCAACGATTTTGGACATAGTGGACGACATAGGGTTAGTGAGAAGAAAAAGATAGAGAGAGAAAAAACAGGTAAGAGATGAGAAGACCAAACGTCCCAGCAGTTGGCAGCTGAACACGGGACAGAGGTGACAGCCAGGAGGGGGCTTTCTGAGTCTCTGCTGGAGGCGACACCGGGAATGGTAGAAGAGCTGTTGGTTTGTTGGGACAGAGAAGGCCAGAGGGAACGACAACACACATCCTTTTGCTATTGTGTTGGGGAAGAAGAGAAGGATGGAGGAATAATCTTGATGGCTTAGGCCTGATAAAAGAGAAAGAGAGACAGACAAAAAAAAGACAACAGCACACACTGTGAGATTAAGAGCTCTGAGGCTGGGCTTCCTGCACTAGATACCTACACACTGGCAAATCTGAGCTGCAGCCCTTTTCTACACTAAAATGCCCTGCACCTGGTTTAATAAACAACTGCAGCTTGGGGTCTGGTTTTAGTTTTTGTAAACCCCAGCTGAAAAAACTGTGCTTCTCTTTGAAAACGGACAGCTGTCTTAGGAGCTGCATTACAGCACAAGAAGCAGGTCGGTGATGCAGTCTGTTGGCAGCTGCAGTCACTGTGACTCAGCTGTTCTCCTTTCCCCTCTGGTACCCAAAAGCTTGGTACACTGCACCCAGAGAGTGACTGTGCACTGCAGTCATGGGACATCTACAAGCATCCGCACTGAAATGGGCAGGATGATATGACACAGTGAAAAGTATTTCTACCTACAGCATTTAAATTCAGAAACCCTTCATAAACTTTAGCAGTATAAAATTCCCTAAAGTCAAAGTTGTAACTGATGAATGATGAAAACATCATCTTAGTCCTTTGATACTTGCCTCTGATTGGCCCAGCCTGTTTATTATATCACTGTAGAGCAACCCACCCAAGCCCACTGTGTGGAATGAAAGTTCAAGAGGGGGAGTACAATCCACTGAGTGGGAAAAGGAAATCTGATTGACAGGCTGATTGGTTGTCATGGCAAGGGTAATCAACAAAGACGTTCTGCAGGTTAATGAAGCATGAAGAAGAACAAACAAGGAAAGGATGAAATCTGGAAAACATGCTAACTAACAGCGGGCACATTAAAACGTTTAGCCAAGAGCACAAAGCCGTTACAGACACATACAGGTCAAGTCATGCTTTTTAAAAAGAGACACAGATATGCAGCAAATTAACCTGAACACAACCACAAATTTGCTGACACTTGCTGTCTCCTCATGCTTGTCTACACCCAATGATAAAAAACAGTAACGAATTCCTGTAAAGTGGCACTGAAATTACTCTCATCTAAATAATTTAACAAAAGTGCAGGCTATTCAAATGCCTAATTTGATGTATGTAACTCCCTTCTGTAGCCTCAGTGACTTGTCAGACTCAGACTGAGAGCAGAGTAAAGACTTGTTTAGGCAAAGCTATACAGTAGGTGAATGACATATGCCTCTGCCACTTTCAGCACACACCTACACAGAAGCAGACAGCACTGTACAAGCCTCTTTTCTAAAGCATGATACAGTCTGGTGTAGTTTACAGCTCTGATGAATGGAATTTGTTAAACAATCTTTGAGTCAAAAGTGCAATGGTTTTCTGACAAACAACCTCTAAAAGCATGAAGAGTGTCATGAGCAGATCTGCTGTTTTGACTGTGTCAATTTCACTACTACTGCTGTGGCTGTGATAATGAAATGCTTGCACACAATTAGCAGCCCTCTGCATGCCGTCACGTGTTTCAAAGACAGGTGCATAGATAAATACACATGCTGAAGTTAAAATTTTAAGTGGGCTTTAGAAGTTGTGTTGTGCATATGAACATGTGTGTAGAGAAGCATTCACATGTACACAACAGCCAGCAAACCAATCCCCCACCTGTCTACTTAATGTTACTCAGAGTTCAGCAGACAGCAGGTTAACAGACATCTTTCAGCTATGTGACTATCAACACAACAACACATGGTCCATTAGTGTTAGGGGTGAGCCCAGCAGGCTGGTTTGGCTACATGCATGTGGGGCAGTGAACAGCGTGGCTGCAAGTAGGCGAGGACAGAGGCACAGGCTCAGACGAGGCATCTCTGCTGGCACAGTCCTACCTTCTGGCTTACACAGGCCTCACCAGAGGGCTTCTTTGAGCTGGGACACAGCTTTAGCAGTCTCTCTGTAGCTGCAAGCACTGCTACACTGAGTATCATGTTCCCAGCACCGACCTATTTAATAATGAACAAGGAGTGACAACTCCAATAGGAAGCGCTGTGGTGCGGAAATAGAAGCCCTGCGGTGAAATGACATTTCTGACTGTTAGCCAGAGTGGAAATTATAATGAGGCAATGAAACAGCAGGATGACCCATTACGTACCAGCTGCACAGAAGGATGAGGATCAAGGATATTGGAAACTCCAGTTAATTGTATTTAATGATGGAAACATGAGAGTCTAATATGGATTTAGACTGTATCTGTATCTCTGAGCCCCACAGACACAAATACTGTATATATATTTAATATGTTGCCATGGTGCCACAGAATGAGCTTGTGCATTTGTGTGTTACAGCTCCACTTGTACAGAAGCATTGCAAGCAAAACAACTGCATATTAAAATAAGACACTTCACTGTCAAGCAAAGAATAACAAAACATGAACATCTAGTCCAAAGCAAACTCAGGTGCTGTGAAAAACAAAAGTTCAGCATGTCAAGACACTCAATCAGCTTAACATCTGGCAAGGGAAGGCCATGGTACTGCATATGTGAATGGAGCTGATGGACTGGTACAGATACAGGACACTGGGTGCAGCCGAATCAAGACCTGAGAGTAGGCAGCTATTTCAAAGACTACATGGAAAAAAGGGTGTGCCCCAAAATATTTTTGTGAGAAAGCAGCTTCACCCTGTTTCTATAATAATGCCACTCATATTCAGCTTATGACATCATAAAACAGGTCACAGAAGTGACTAATCTGTGCTTTGGTGCAGTCTGACCACAGTGAAGAGGGCTTCCCAAGCTTCCTGTGAAATGGATGGCCTAGTGGGGCCTCCTGATGGCTGTGATCATTTAGGTACAGAGGGGTCAGCTTTTTGCTCACTCTAAGCCCCTGCTTTCTAATCACTGGCCATCTCACAATACTAATAAGAAAAGCTCCTCTTAGTTGTCTCACCTTTCAGGCTACATTACAAGTCATTGTCTGTCTCGATTTCTGTACCAGCCCACACTCTCCCTGATGTTACTATCACCACCTTGTTCTTCCAGTGAAGTCACTGGCCATACTGACTCAGTTATAGTGGATTTGTACTCACCCCATTCCACTCCACGCCCATACTCACTTCCTCGCCAGTCTCAGAGCCGCTCTCATACTTAACGCTGGTCAGACTGTCCCTGCTCCTCCGCCTGTCGCCTTCTGTATCCTTCAAGAGCTCCACCACACGAGTCTGTTGAATGGGGTCAATGCCCTGATGGGGTTAACACACATATGCGGCACAAAAGCAAACATTAACAAATTAAACAAATTAAAATCAGAACTAGCACAAACACAAGTATCAGCCAGTCAATATGGGTGAGAGAGAAAAGTTATATGGAGGACTTAAAGTAATTTCCTGTATCAATAGTACTGTCACTGTGTCACAGAGACAAGGGAACGTTTCAGTGACTATGAGATGGGAGTGATGTTAGGGGAGAGAGACGGAGGTTCTGTGGGGCCTAGGAGTTAGAGACAAACCACTTACTGTGTTGCTCTGGATCCATAGCAATGTAGAGAAAGGGAAAGAAATATAATGAGATTTTCTCTTCTAACATATCTCAGAATTTACCAAAACAGGAAGTGATACGCTACAGTATCAGCAGGCAGAAATCGGCATTTTCAGTTAAGAAATGCTGCTGACCTGCTTGCGAGACCTTGTGGCGCATTCCTCCAGGGTCTCAGCAGCCTCTAGCTTGCCCTGTCGGCGGTACAGGGCTCCCAAGTTTCTCAGGGTGGTGTTCACTGTAGGGCTGGACACGGAACGACAGGTACACCAACATTTACCCAAAGGAACAGTTGCATCCAAGCAAACTGCTGTGTTATGTGCTATACTGTAAGAAAACACTAAAAACTCTGGAGGACTATGACGGTATTTTATAAACTAATTTTAAAACTTCACATTCCTAAAAAATATAAATAAGAAATTACTGAAAAATAAAAGATTTTCTACAACATACTGGCCTCACACTTTTACAAAACAATAAATGTGAAGTAATATATTTCTAGACTTCTAACAAGTGTCTTAATAGCCAAGGTGTGAAAACATGCTCACAACTCTGTGCCCCACCTGTTGACTTTGCAGGCCTTGTACCAGCCTCCATACTCTCCATATGGAGTGTTGTCTCTGTGCTTGCCCTGGAAGTAAACAAGTGATAGGGAGTGGTGCTTTAAACTGGATCAGCAGCATTTTTCCTTTGTTTGCAAACAGACTACTAACATATGCTGACTGAGGTTTATATTGTGTGTGAAGTAAAAAGACCAGTTTTGACATTTCACAGCCTTAAATTTGACAGATGTTATCGTTTGCTCTGCTTCTGTCCAGAACGACAGGAGGAGGGTTATACAAATCACCTCACCTTGCTCATTTCCTCTCTTTCCTCTGCATGCATCCAGATGGGCTTGTTCTCAGCTGCAGACAGAGGGGCAAACATAATGAATTGTGTTTAACTGCTTAACCTCATGACATTTCACTAAGTCCAAGATGAACTAGTCATGCTCATATCTATTTGGACCAATCAGCCATAATGTTATGACCACTGACTGGGGAAGTGAATAACAATTATCTCAAACGTACCCGTCAGTGTGTGGGGTATATTAGGCAGCAAGTGAACAATCAGTCCTCCAAGTTGATGTGTTAAAAGCAGGAAAAAAGTGTGAGGATCTGAGTGGCTGTAATGGCTACTGGGTCAGAGCATCACCCGGAATGCAGGTCTTGTTGGGTGTTGAACGTTGCAACTTACTGTGTATGGGGCTGCGCAGAACTGTCAGGGTGCCATGCTGACCCCTATCCACTGCCAAAAGCACCTACAATGGGCATGTGAGGATCAGAACTGGACCACAGAGTGGTGGAAGAAGGTGGCGTAATCTGATTTTCTTTTACATCATGTGGACAACCAGGTGTGTGTGCGTCACTTGCTTGAGGAAGAGACGGCACCAGGATGCACTATAGGAAGAAGGCAAGCTGGCGGAGGCAGTGTGATGCTCTGGGCAAAGTTCTGCTGGGAAACCTTGGCTCCTGCCATTCATGTGGATGTTACTTTGACACGATGACCTACTGAAACGTTGTTGCAGACCAAGTCCACCCTTCATGGCAGTGGTATTCCCTAGTAGCATGGGCCTCTTTCAGCAGAATAATGGTCCTGCCACACTGCAAAAATGGTCCAGGAATGGTTTGAGGAGCACAGTGAGTTCAAGATGCTGACTTGGCCTCCAAATTCTTCGGCTCTCAGTCCAATCGAACACCTGTGGGATGTGCTGGACAAACAAAACCGATCCGTGAGGGTCCCACCTCGCAGCTTACAGGACTAAAAGGATCTGCTTCTGACGTCTTGGTGCCAGATACCAGAGGACACCTACAGAGGTCTGTGGAGTCCGTGCTGTTTTGGTGGCAAAAGGGAGACCTACACAATTTTAGGCAGGTGGTCATAATGTTATGGCTGATCAGTGTATATTTGTGTAAAGAAATAAGAGGCTGGTGAATTCTAAGATCTGGCACAGATGCCACTTATCCTGTTTTCACCCAGAGTTTAAATATTGAAACGCTGGCTAAAATGTTTGATGTCTATTAATGATACAAAGACTGATTCAGCAAAATATGTTCCTGAGCTTATTCATATAACTCAAGTACAGTAACATAAAACACATCTTTGGTTTTAATTTAATCATGTCTAGGTTTTTCAGATTCTCTCCCAGATAAATGAACAAAAAAATCAATTGCACATTATAGACACAACATGATAATCTCATAAATAGAAGCAAAGACATACCCAAAATATTTGAACACACCATGTTCAGATATTAAGGCTACACCTTTCAGGTAACCGCACTGTAACATGTAACCACATACTAATGTATGTAGATGCATGAAATTCCACTGACATTCAAACATAGCACCTGTAATGTAAAAAACGATATTCAGCATTAACTGTTACTGCTGTGTTGGTTCCCCTTACAAAATATATAAGCACTGTTGTCAAGTTAAGTGACACATGCAAAATGAATGAGATATTTCAAGAACTGTCAGAGCAGTATACTGTGTCACTTCACTTTCCTTTGGTTTCAGAACACTCAATCGAATTCTTGGAGGAAAGCCATCAAACAGCTTAACTTAAAATAAAATCACAAGAAAATTACAAGAGTTCATCTTCCAGACAAGTAAACTCTTTATTTCTTTAAATAGTTTTTTTTTTTTAAATATTCTTTGAGTCTTCTGAACGGTGAAGGTCGGCGCCTTGCTCAGAACACTGTCCAATTTTTAACCATCTCTCCATCATTGACTCTGCTTGAGACAAACAGTAGATGGAAGATAAGACAATGGGAGAGGAAGGTTGAAAATCCCCCCCCCCAAAATTCAAACTTGTATATTCTGAGAGCCAGTTCACTGTAAGCCACCACCATTCTTCTTGGGATTCACTGTTTATTGGTTGATGGAAAAATGCATCCGCACCACACCAAAATGAAAATAGCCTTTCAAACATGTGTTACGAGGTCTTACCATCAACAGATCCAAACTCTTTCTCATGAGCACGAGTCAGAATCTCTTTGTAGAGAATCTCAGCCTCCTTGTATTTCCCCTGCTTGAGAAAGCAGGACGCCTGAAGACGAAAAAGAAGATCAAGCATATTTCAGTGTTGAATCAAATTAGCCTATTGACTCACAATATGCCTCCTGAGAGAGCAGGAGCAGTCTGTCTGCACATTTCTCCTGCACACAGTGGCACAGAGCCTCCCTTACTGTCTCCATACAGCCTCTCCATCACCAGTGAGACAGGACAGAAGCAGGATGGAGGGCCTTGGAGAGCTACAAGAGCTGAGGCAGCAGATAAAGTACTGTTGGCTTGGTGCTAACTAAAACAAACTTGTCCCTGACACACCTTTGAAGCTGAACACACAGGGCGAAATAACATTATACTTTGCTGGCTTATATTAAGAAAGCCTTTGTTGAAAGAAATGTGTTCCTTTTGTGTGAAGTCAGACAAGTAGAGGTTTTGCAGGCAGAAAGCAGTTATAGGCTGAATGCCCCCGCAGACTCCAAGCTCAAGCTGACAGAACAAATAAGTGATTTTGCTCATTGTAAAAAGTGCACTCTGCCTTTGTTTACCTCAGCACATTCACAGCTCAATAGACTCCGTCGTTCTTGTCAAAATGAACTGTACGTTAAAGTGAAAGGGCTTGAAACAGTGAGGGGGAAGAAAGCATTATAAAAGCCGATGGGGTAGTTGTAACATAACTCTCACCAGGTTATTCTTGGTTTTGGCCACATTGGGATCATCTGGGCCAAGCTTGCGTTCATAGATCTCCAGGGCACGACAGTAGTAGTACTCCACCTCTTCATACTTACCCTGGTTCTGACACAGCAGAGCCAGGTTGTTTAGCTGTTTGGCCACATCTGGGTGGTCCTTCCCCAGGACCTGATGGAAAGCAAGAGGCAAATGTTCTGAATTAACATTTCAGTTTGTCTCTCTCTGCCTTTAGTTCCTTGGTGTAGCTCCATCCCCTCTTGCTGCTTTCACCAGAGAGCACATCCGCCTGCTGCAGGCACTCAGGAGATCTAATAAAAACCTGGCTGATCAATAAAGAGGGTACAGAATAGAGCTTTCAGGCAAAGATAGCTTTGTCATTTCTCCACTCTATCTCCTGCCTCAGTGCCCCAATGCCTAGTATCCATTTTTAACTGTGTTCCCAATTAAACCTTCTAACTCCCCACCAACAAGGGAAAGGCTCCCAGCAGGATTAAATCATTTGGTCTTTTCCCTATTTATGGTCACTGGTGTTACAATAGCTCTGACTGCCATTTTGGAAGTATTATCACTATAAATTACTTCAGAACAATAAGCATATTGTTCACTGGGTTAAACTTGAGATGAGGCCTCAACAGCAGTGCTGTGGACTACTCTACTGGTGCAGTCCAAAGATATGGCCTACCTTTTCTCTGATCTCCAGAGCCCTCTTACACAGAGGCTCAGCCTCCTTGTACTTCCCCCTCTTTCCATACAGCACAGCCAAGTTGTTCAGCGTTGCAGCAACCTGAACATAGAAAAACGGAGGCAAAATTTTAATAAGGCCACGTCCTTTCTCTGCTTTGTTTTCATACATGGTTTAGCTTCAAAATATTAGAAATGAATTCACTGTTGTTTAGTGATCTATGAAATAGGATGGCAGCCACCATCGTGCTGTGTTTCATTATTCTGTGTTGTGGATCAGGCAGAGTGACAAGACTAAGGGTGTTTTCACAGTTGGTCCATTTTAAATGAACCAAAATCAGTCCTCTTTAAAATGGACTCCTATAAATTGCTATTTTTTAAGTAAAAAAAAAATTGAGCACATTAACATTGCTTATTTCCTATTTTCTCATATTTACCGTTAACATTCTTGAGTAGCAAATTGCAGCAGCATTGTTTTGAACAAACCACTAGACTATAATATGATTACAGAAACAAAAAAAACCACACAAGACTTTTTCTTTGACAGCATGTTTAACATACCTGGGCAAGGGGGGAAACTATGAGCTAGTCTGTGGAAAACTGCATTTCTCAGTGATGGACTTTCACTAGATATTTTAGCAGACGAACCTGGAGCACTTCGTGTTCACGATGCTCAAATTAAGTGAACCACATTGTGGACCTGAAACTAACCAAACTGAGATCACCTCCTGAGGGGGTCTCAGTTCAGTTTATATCAGAGGGGTCCGAGTTCATTTGGAGCATTCACACTTGCGTAAAAAATGCTGAGTAATCGCTCTGAGTTCATTTTGAGGGCTGAAAGGGACCAAGTATGAAAACACCCTAACAATATTCATCAAACTGCAAATCCCACAGGGCTGCTGGGAGTAGCACTGTGCCTTAATATCTTCCTTTACACTTTGAGCCAAGTTGTTGCCACTGTGTAAATCGATTCCTAAAAATCTGTTCAAAAAGGCAATGAAACCTGTAGTATCTTTTGACTATTTTGGTTGGTTTGATTTCAAAAATGTATAAGCAGACATTTTGCAGCACACTATCAAAGATTCATACTTTATTATTAGGGGGGTCAAAAGAGACTGAATAGTGACATAAATGTTAATGCTTCTCTGTCGATTTAGTCTTAAAGTACACTTTACTAGTCGGATCAGTCTTAACACGGACGTGTTTACATGAAGATGTGATGGTGATGGTGTGTCTTACAGCAGGATGGTCCTTGCCCAGGGTTTTCTCCCTGATGGAGAGAGCATCATTGAGCAGATGGGCAGCCTCTTTGTATTTGTTTTGATCCCTGCATGAGTGAGAGACAGGACAACATGATGAGATTAAATGTTTCTTGCTCTTGACTAATGTGTGTAAAAGAATGGCAATATGACAAGTAAACTAGGAACAATAACAGTACAACTTGCTAAAGTGCCCATATGAGGCCTTTTCTGACCTATAGACTAAGGCCAGGATGTTGAGCATGGTTGCCACGTCAGGGTGGTCATGTCCAGAGGTTTTCTCCAGGTCTTCCAGAGCTTGCTTGCAGAGGGGGACAGCCACCTCGTACCTGCCCTGGGAGGCATACTGGATCACCAGGTTGTGCAGGGTTCTCAGACGGGCTGGGATCTCATAGCCTCCCTGCTGTGCTGCAGCCATGGCTGCACTGTTGCGTTGCTGATGCGCTGTGGGGTGCAGAGAGCATGTCCACAGAGCAAAGGTTAGCTTGGTTGCCAAAGGGACAAAACTTGGACCTGATTATATTAGTAACTCCACTTGGATGCGCACAGTACTGTGATTTGAGGGAATAATTCAAATACCATTTAATGGCAATATATTTTTTTCCACCAGCATCCTGAACCTGCATGGACAGTCAGGTTAATTTACTAACAATGTAGATAACTGGGCCTACGCTATTTAATACCAAATCTGCCAGCTTTCCCTTGTTCAAAGTAAAGTATGTTGCAGAGTTCTTTTCTCAAGATTTGTGCATTTTAACCAGAAAAAATGTACTTTAAAGTTAAACCACAACAAAAAGAGTCATGTATTGTACTTTATGCTTCAAATGATTTAGTGTATCAACTACCTTAATAAAATAATAACCACATATTATTAACACTTTTGGACAAACACATATTTTATTCTTGACTTTAAATGTTGACTACATCATTTTGAAAGCAAATTCCTCTATTACAGACAATCTATGTTATTGGGTATTTGACTTGCTGTGTATAGTTTTTCTTACTTCCTTGGCCATGCTCCTCATCATCATTGGGGAAGAGGTCATCCAGGGAGTCCTTCTGTGTTTCTCGATCCTTCTCCTCCTGCTGAGAGAATGAAACGCACTGCCAGTCAGGTCCTCTAACAGACAGCAGGGATCACAGTGGACAATTCAGGAATCATCCAAATCAGACATGTCAAATAAACAGTGACAGATAATAGGAACAGTACAGAAACTAGGAATGACAAACACACTGATCTGGTTACCTCAAAGCAACACTGCATAAGATGCTATCTGTTAGTAAGCTAGATATTTATAAGACGATAGCGTGGAGAGATGCCGAGCATCAGAGATTTCATCTATCATCCATATTTTATTAGCGCAGCAGCCTGTTAAAAGCTGGAAAATTGGGGTGGGGGAAAAATCTATTCAGGCTATTGGCAGATTAGGTTCCTGCCGAATTAAGCAGTTAGTGGACACATGCTATTACAGCCTCTTTTTGTGACTGACAATAAGTTCAGGAGTAGTGATTCATCCTCCCCCATCAGATCAATGAGGGCCTGACCAGAAAGGCTCATTCCTGGAAGACCATGCAAGATTTTATTCCTGTCACAAACAAAGGTTGCATCCCCCCACCCAGAATCAGATGTCAATGACAGTTTGCTGCCATTCTGAATTAAATCAGTACTTTTAAGCTATTTTCACGATAAAACTGTTCCAAGTCAGTTCACAGCAGGGACTGTCTTATTATTTCTGTGCCATTTCATTTATGATCTCTATTTCGCTGCAATAGCTAATAAATAAATGAAACTTGAAATCATTTGAGTGAACTTAGTGGATTTTTTTTTTTAGTTAAGTCTTAAAAAGGAACAATATCTTTTAAAGAATCCTGAGGACAGTAAACATGTAACCAAATGGTGAAGAAAAAATAATAATCTCACAGTTATATTAGTGACTAAGTAATCAGTTCGTAAATGCTATTGTGAGTGCAGGTGAGGACCTTCAGGTTTCACATCAACGCTGTAGTGCTTACAGTGGGTGAGACATCTTCGTCATATTTTTTGAGCTGGTTCATGAACTCCAGGTGTTTCTTCTCCTCTTCCAGCTGGGCCACGCTCTGCTCACTCTTCTGTAGCTTCTGCTGGGTGTTGGCCAGCTCGTCCCGCAGCCACTGGTTTTCCTGACAAAGCCTTCTGACCTGCGCACGCAGCTTCTGCTTCTCTGACTCCACCGCGTTCAGGTGGTTGGACAGAGCCATCATCACCTGGGATAAAGACAGCATTGGAGAGCAATGGCATTTAACAAGGACAAAGTGTTGAAGCAGTAGGGCAGAAGAGTACAAAGCTGGGGCTGATTCTGAATTAATCATCACCACCACACAAGCTCAGTATAGAATGAGGAAGCTGAGAAGTAAGAAGCAGAAACCTAAAGAAGACAGTAACACATGGTTGTGTGGTTTAAATATACGTACATTTACAAAATGGATGATTCTCTCACACTGCCAATTTTGATAATACAATCTGTAACCCACTTTTACCCCTACTTATTAAGTAGGAATATATTTAATTTTTCCCTCCTCATATCACTACCGCCCAATTTTACCTGTGCTTCTCCCAGGCCCAGTTCTATCATCTCCACTGACTTGCGGAGCAGGTTGGACTTCTCATGCACCAGGTTGGCTTCTTCATCCTTCTTTAGGCACTTGATGGTCTCCAGGAGGCTGTGGAGGATGGAGTTGTGCTCGTTCTTCAGGGCCTCCAGACCCTGGATCACTAGCTTCGTGTTGGAGATGATCTCCTCCTGAGAGAGCTTCTCGAGCTTCTCTTCCCGTGGATAAACCATTGTGGACATCTTCTATGTAGCTCAGGGAAACCTGTAAAAATTGGGAGGAGAAAATGAGAATAATCCTCTTGTGAGAAAAAGTAAACATCTGCCACAGTTGTGCCTGTCTAACGCTTGCTGAACAGAAAGAGCACAGATGATTAGCTCAACTGAACTGCAACTGTCACAACATGTCTCTTGTTACTTTTCCTCTCTTCAACTGAAAATATCTTCAGTATCAAATAATATAAACAGTCTACGGCACTCTCTGCTTGAGTGACATGAAACACTCACTCTCCCATCTCAGTTTAAAGCTATCAATGCCTGACACTGTGCCCTTGGTGTTGACATACACATCATTTCTGTGTTCAGCTAATGAAAATTTAACAGGATCTTCAGTTATGTGATCACAACAAAAAGGGAAATTAACTCATTTTTTTAATCACTACATATGAGATGATTCAAATTTCATGAGTGAGATTAGTCAGCATTTTTTGAGTTGTTAAAACACACAAAGTCAAAATGTAATGAGTTTGATATGATTTTAAAAAAGTAAGCAAGTAAAGAACGATGTTGCTCTGACTGAGCCTTGAACTGCAAGTGCTGAATGAATGCAATTTAAAGATGCGCGTAGAATGCCTGCTTTATAGAAAGTCAACAGCCGCAGTGACTCATTATTCTGGACTGAAACATACAGGGTAACAGAGGGCACACAGATTCTGCAGTGTGGCTGCACTTTATCCAAACAGAGGGCTAGCTAGCTGCATGACTGGCTGAAGAGTCACAGAAAGGATAGCATGACAAATGCCTAATACTGCTCAGCAGTGGGCCAAATCACAGAAAAAACCTCAGTTGTCAATCATTCTGTGTTTGACAGAAATGCCAGTCCTGTGGAGAGTGAGTGCATGGAACATGTGCCATTTTACCCAGACAGTCTGAATATAACCTATGACTCACTGAGCCACGTTGCTTTTGGCTACACTGTACAAATCTCAGTGCAAAATGCAGCCCTGCCCTTCTAACTGGGGTCCAGGCAGTAGTATGTATTCTGTATTTTACCAGCAGTGACTATAAGGAGTTAAGGATGAGGGGTTTTGCAGTAATAAACACCAGCTGAGAACCATCTGCCTAGAGAAAAATATACTAAACCATTAGTGAGCCACTCCCTGTTGTGCTAGTTGCTACTTGCATTACAGCAATTGTCTTTTAAAGCTGAGCACAAAGAAAATAAAGAAAACCAACAAAAGCCCTAAACAATTGCAAGAAGCTGCCATGTTCCGAGCTGGGCACTGTCAGGGGCATGTTATTTATGAAGCCGATACATTTCATGATGACAGACATTCTCAAGGGGTAGCTACTGTAGTCAACTAGTGTCCAGCTGGATAGCAGTCAGCCTGTGGAAATGTGCTTTTTTCAGAATGATATGGGAGCCTGTCTACCACCAGCTAAAGGGTCTGAGTGGACAGGAGAGCAGCAATGATGCTGCCAGGTAACCTAATACTGTGTAGTGCATGAAAGGATACAGAGAAGACATATGAATCTCTGCTACCTAGTGAAAATCTTTCAACCTGAAATGATAGGCTCTTGTATTTTTTTAACCATCCTTACAAGTCATGAACTCACTAAAAATCCACTGAAGAATTCTAAAATTACATAATGTATGAAAAAAAAAATATCAGTCTTTTTTCCTCTTTTCTCTCTGAAGCATGATTTTTGAGATGGAATTTTTTTTTCTCTGCTAAATGCCTGAATCATCTGCATGGCAAAGGCAAAACAGGTCAAGGAAGAAACTGAGAGACCCTAATTTGGCATGAAGACATATCACCCAGACTTAGAGACATTTGCTGATATTGTCTGGCACCAAAGTTCTTACCTGTTCTGAAGAAGATGAGAAATGATCACTTTTAAGATCAAACGCATTCATAGATTAGCGTATTATTCAGCAGTTTCGCTGAATCTCATCTGTGTAACACCTATTTGGATGAAAAACCTGACTGGCTGAGTATACACAGTAGCTAACAATGAAAGGACGTTCTTTCATATCAGCCAGGAGAGAAACAAGCAGCTTTGCTTGATAAAATACAGAACAGACCTTTATCAAGGACTTTTGCTTTCTTCAGACAGCTCAAGTTAATGTTTTCCAGCCAGATAAGGTCCAACAGGCCTGTTGTGTTTCTTCAAAAACTGCCTTTGAATTAATCGTTAACATTCAGTCTTTCTTCCTTTATTGCTGTCTCACAAAAGTCATGTGCAAATGAAACAGCTCATACCATCAAATGGGAATATGAAATACAACAGAGTGACAAAGCAGTAGTGAGGTAGCTAGTAACAACAAATGTTTTTGGCTCACTTCTTACGCCAACCAAAATTAAACAGGCACACGGAGAAATGATTTTCAACATATCCCTCAGCCCAGAGCTAGTTGACATGCCATTTTAATACAAACTCATAAGACGTGGTGTAATAACTAATGTACCTTTGACTAAATGATGCTTTGGCACAGAGGGACTATTTTACAAAATGTACCTTTACAGTCAGGTTGCAAACAATACCATTGGACTAAAAAACACAGGATGATTATGGAGGGAACATGCTCTATACTAACTGGGCATGGTTCTTCAATTTTTCATGAAGATAACCAAATGCAAAATATAAAAAGGTGCAAATTACACTCTCAGAGGATCTTTATATCGATTAATAAACCCACTAAATGCTATCTTTCACACTAGCAATGGTTTCAGGTGCTACAATGTGCTGGAGCAGAAAACCAACCTCAGCTTCTATGGCAGATCAGAGCCTCATAGTTTCGCACAGAGAAAAAAGCTGATGAAATAATGACACCCCCTCCAGCATTTAGCCCATCACGAAATTGCTGTGCTAATCCAAAGAGACCCTCCTTATAACGAAAAGGGATACCTTCCGTGTGAAACAGAGGCAATTAAAACAGCACGGCGATGAGTGTTGATGTTGGAGAGAGGAGGATGGGTGAGCCTGCAGGACAATGGTGACCTTCCCTCTGCTCCGTCAGAACAACCAACAGCAGCTCAGGGTGCACATCAAGAAACAACCCCGCCCACGAGGGGACGAAAGCAGAGGAGTGCAGAAGAGCAGGTTGGATGGGGGAGGGAACCATTTCTGATCTATGCTTTGCTTGTCTATACTCATCAGAGACACAAAGGAATAGGCCTAATGAGACACAATGGAAAAGGCTCTGTGGCACTATTTAAAGGCTCAAAAAGACTTTCAAAGCCACAGAGGCTGAGGGCATTCAACACACTGAAAGGTAAATTCTACTCAGTCTTGTGGTGCCAGAAAGTATATGTGAAAATAGGACAATGATTTACAGATAGCTCTGAATCCTACAGTGTCATCGTATCACCAAGTAATAAACCTCTGCTGAGCCTATGTCTCTTGTAGTCCCACATTAAATCATTTAGTTTGTGCAGTTCAGCAAACAGTCATAAAGCAACAGGAACATTCAGAGCACCCGGACAATATGACACCAGGGGCATTATGATCATATAACTCTCAGGAAATGTCTATTCATACAGCATTCTACAGAAGTGATTAAGAAGTAGGCCTACCTTGTTTCTGATAGCATGATTAAATCCACAAGTCAAATACCTTTGTGTAAACACCACTGTAGTAATAGATCAGCTGTGCAGTGAAAGTAAAAAGCCATCCATAGTAGTATTCATGTATGCCACTAGTTCAACACCCTCCCAAAGCTAGAATGCATAGCACCTGCACTGAAGCAATGTTGTATTTACATTACATAGGTCAAAGACACACAAGAATCCGCTATTAGGTCCACAGGCTCTGTTGTCAGCAACATTAGCTACATCAAACAATCTAAATTGACCATTGCTTTCGTTACAAGGACCATTTACGAGAGACATTTTATGGAAAAGTCAGATGACTCAAGATAGCAGTGCGATCACAGGTCATAATATTGCTGCTATCATAGCACATCTATAGCTCAAAAGCTGATGCAAATGGCCAAAAGAAGTGTGCAGTGTTATGAAAGACAGTTCTATGTCGAAAAAGGCAGCTTGACAGGTTCAGTAGTGACTGCAGTGGGAGAATCAACAAGCCATTTTCCTCCGCTTCCTACAAAAACAGCAACCCAACACACTCCCCGCATCACTGCCATAAACAAAGGAGAGCCAGCCATCAAGGAAGGTGTGGCAGGGCCTGGACAACCAGGAGGGCTTCCAGTGACACTCAATCACTCCACTGAAACCAGCTACTAGAGGGTTGTTTGGCCAATAATTGCTATCTGAAATTTGTCTGCCTGAATATTTTAACAGATGCAAGAAGGGGTATCAGATAGAGAATCTAACTTATAGAATGTTATGAATAAAATGTGACACCCGTGTCTGTAATTGCTCTGTACACTTCCACTACGATGTAACGTTAGCACTGCCGAAGGCCAATACTAGACACTTGACTCAATATAGTGGTAGCTACGTGTTAATGACTCTGCATAACCTTAGAGGAACAGAAACATGAAGTCTGCATATGTAGAAACGACTTATAAAAATAAAACAAATTATGCGGTCTACAATTTGACGCTCGTTAATATGCTCACAATTTCATTTTTGTTATGACTTTCGCAGTTCACAACGAGGTTATGTTTTTCTACCTTTACCTATTGGGTTCTTAATTAGCAATAAGGGCATGTTTTATCAGTTATTCACTTAAATATATTTACTATGGCATTCCCTGGACGAATGCTCATTAGTTCGTGGATTTTCACAATAAATCTTTCTTTTTGATCTTTTAGCGCTCCCATAAGCGACTAACTAGCTCCGGCTAGCCAGTTAGCATCACCACTCCCTAGTTATTAGGAGTTCATCCTATTCAAACCGCTGAGGTCATAATTCATATACTCGGTCTCTTAAATTGACCCTATTTATTGCGCTACATATAAAGGGCTCACAGAATTATAATAACAGTCATTGAAAACAGTTATAACTTACCGAGAGCTAGGACTTACAGCTAGCTCAGCCCCTTTAAATCTAAAATGTCTCCAGCGCAGCAAGATTCTCCCAGCAGCCTCTGCGGCTGAATTGATTAGTAGTGACGTCATGTGTGTTTTCACAAAAGAAGTGTTATGGGGTTTGTTTTTTTTTTTGCCCATCCATCTATTGCGGTGTCTAAAAATGTTTAGTTTAATAATTCTCAAAGATTTTTTAAAAATAGGATAACAAAATAAATCGAAGCATAGTCCTGCTGCGCACGGACCGGATGACTTTAACCTTGATTCTTACTTTCAAACACATAGGAATACGGTATAATAACTCATAAATTCCACCACAGCAAAATACCAAAGAACGTAAGGGACATCTGGTTGTTGTCCTGTGGACACTAGATGACAGTAGCCTAATTCTACAAGTGTAATTTAATTTGAATGCTCCATATTTTTTCTACAAACAATCAATCATTCCTGGAGTAAAAATAATATGACCAGGGTAGGCTACGTATAGTTCCACTGTGGCGTTGTTTGATAGCAAGAACATGCTGCTAGTATAACATTTATTTATATGCCACACAATGACAAGTCAGGAAAATTGATTTACCCCAATCAAACATAAAGACAGCAATAACATTACAAAACAGATTGACAAAGAGGCACAAAATGAAATGACTACAAATTCTCTTTTCAATCTGGGGTCTAAATATTCCATTACTTTTTCCAGTGCAGTGGGCTGGGCCTTTCATGTCTGTGGCCAGGGACCTGTTACCCCCTCATAGTCAACTCACCACATTTCTCACAAAACTGCACACCTGTAACCTATATCATTTAGATTTAGACCTGTTACTAATATGTATTATATGTTTTTAATCTTTCTGGAAGATGTGACAGTGATGTCTGAAAACTTGAATCACCAATTTTATATAGACAAGCTTGAGCTGGTTAGTCTGAAGCCCATTTCTGTGAAGCAATAACTGTCAATGTAACTAAAATAAATGACTTTAATACACGGGAGACAAACAATAACTGGCCTTTAATTAAAAGTAATAGGAGAGACCACAGTTACCTTACTGTAATACAATTTGTAAGAAGTCACCTAGAATTGAACCTGAAAACGTCAGCGACTACAGGCCAGAGTATATATACGTCATCGATGTGCGACGTAGCGTGCAAGACTGTGAAGGACGCTAACTAGAAGCTTGGGATGAAGTAAAGGTTGGCGTTATGTTTTTGTTACACTTGGTTATATCGGAAATTGGACAAGGGATAAATCTTCCATTCTGCTTAGTCTGTTAAAATCAGAAAGCAAACGGCAGGTTTGGTTACTGTGCTGAATTAGCGTCACTTGGTAGATATAGGCTAAGCTAATGATAGTTCAGGTTTAGCTACTTGTCATTTGCTAAGTTACTGTACGGTTATTGTTGTAATAATAACGCTGGTTAGTCAGAAATGCAATTATAGATGTTTTTAATGCTGTACGCAATGTGACTGTGTTGCCTAACAGATATTTGATTCTCCGAAGCTCAGTTACAAAGAGGAGTAGATATAGGATAAATGTATCGGGTACAGTAAAACTAATGTTGATAGTGGGAATGACGGATCAGCTGAAGTTATGAAGCTGCCTCTCCCTGGTCTACAGCTTTGTCAGGAGGACGTTATGATGGCGGTGTCCTGTCTAACTCGAGCTCTGCGCTCCCTCACTGTGTCTCAGCCTGTTCTATTCTCCTCTCAGGTAAACATCTACTGCCTGTCAGTCATACTAGGGAACGAAATCATCGCAGCTACCACACAAGTTGTGTTGCTTTTTGTGTTGACAGGCATTAGCACAGACTAAGCTGGGAACTCAGGTGCCCAGTACAGTTGAACAGTGCAGAGGTTTCCTCACCACAGCCTCTCTGGAGCAGAACAGGACATACTGGAAGCACAGGGAGAAGTACACCATCAGGCCTATAGGAATGAAAAAGACAGGAGGTCGAGATCACACAGGTAAAGAGTGTGGGCATTGTGGCAGAACAGGATGATTGGATGTGTTTATACATCTGAAATTGGGTTTGAAATCTGAAATCAGTTACCTGTTTGATAGTTAGAAAATTATTCATAGGTGATTCTCAGAGGTTTCCACTTAACTCATCAGTCAGAAGTCAAGCTTAGCCTTGGCTGGAAGGCCTAGAGCATTATGTGATAGTTGTTCTGATTAGTGCTATGTAAAATGAGTTGTGCATCACTTTCTTTCTGCCATATAGGAAAGATACGGACGCATGGCATTGGAGGTGGTCATAAACAAAGATACCGGTGCATAGACTTCCAGCGACTAAACTATGAACCTGACAAAGAGGGCCAGCCCTTTGAAGAGAAGGTTGTGGAAGTGCGATACGATCCATGCAGGTGAAATCAACTTTTATCACACACAGGACTTTAATGTGTGCATCCAAAGTCATGAACTTACAGTCGGTTCTGAAATTCTGTGTTGCTTCCACAGATCTGCTGACATTGCCCTGGTAGCTGGAGGCAAGCGTAAAAGATGGCTCATTGCCACAGAGAACATGCAGGCTGGAGACATCATTAAAACATCAGGAGTCATTGGACGAATGGCAGGTATGAGATGCACTTTCTGGTTTGTCATTCACTAAAGATGTCTTGAAATTCTAAAGACTTGGTCAATGTTGGACAATGTTGTCCTGTAACTTTTGTTTTACTTTGCAGTTTCAGCCAATGAAGGTGATGCCTACCCACTGGGTGCTCTTCCTGTGGGGGCATTGGTGAACAACCTGGAAATACAACCAGGAAGAGGATCACAATACATTCGTGCTGCAGGTAATCTATTATGGTGCACAGATTTGTATTTAATTTCTAACAAACAGTCTATAGAGTGTATATATACAGGCAGGGCTGACACCAGTGGTCATTTTCAGGAATGATAAAAATACTGCCCTTGATTCTACAGTTAATTGTCATCTTTACATTTGTCAGACCAATAATCCAAAACCCAAAGATATTCAAATTTCAATGATTTGTACATGCACATTGAGAGCCGCTGTACCAGAGTCAAATTCCCTGTCAATACACCTGGCCAATAAAGTTAAGTTGATTCTGATTTAAAACAGAAGAAAAGCAGGAAGTTACACATTTGAGATGCTGGAACCCACAAACGAATTTTGTTTCCAATTCTTGCAAAGTGAGACTAAGTCAATTACTCAAAGATGGAGAATAATTTACTGTAGAGCCGTGATTTGACTTTGATATTTTCTGCTGTATTGTGACCAGTCACTGTTGCGCGCCAGTAACTGGTCACAATACAGCAGAAAATATCAAAGTCAAATCACGGCTCTACAGTAAATTATTCTCCATCTTTGAGTAATTGATTAGTAGGCTAGCGGTTAAGGCGCAGTGCTCTCGCCGCTGTGGCCCGGGTTCGAATCAGGGTTGCGTCAGGAAGGGCATCCGGCGTAAAACATGTGCCAAATGTCAACATGCGAGTCGTCAGTGTGGCGACCCCTAAACGGGAAAAGCCAAAAGTGACTTTTTTTCCATTGTGGTTTCAGGCACAAGTGGTGTTTTGCTCCGCAAAGTAAACGGAACAGCAATTGTTCAGCTTCCTTCAAAGCAGCAGGTTCAGGTGAGGTGATCTGGAACAAGATGATACTAACTGTATTTAAACCGTATTTTGTTTTGAACTTGGTGTTATCTTCAATGCACCCAGGTACTGGAGTCCTGCATGGTAACAGTGGGACGTGTGTCCAACGTTGACCACAATAAACGGATCATTGGCAAAGCAGGTCGCAATCGCTGGCTTGGGATCCGGCCTTCGAGTGGCTTGTGGAAGAAGAAGGGAGGCTGGGCAGGACGCAAGATTAAACCGCTGCCTCAGATTAAGAGTTACACCAACCTGCCTTCGATCTCAGCTCAATGACACAACATGAGTCTAGACAAGCTTGGAACTGGAGATTATTTCCTCCTTATCTTGTAATATACTGATCCTCCCAATAAAATAAAATCCACGTGTGTGTATATAAAAAAAAAAGTGAACAACAAAACTTTGTATAGAAGGTTAAAAATTTTATTAAACACGACTGCTTGTGAGAGCATGGAAAGAAACAAAACAATATAAAAATCCAAAACATATTTACATCTATAGTAAAACATGCAGAGTAACCCATATTTTTAGTGGTAGATTTAAAAATACTGTCATATTTAAAATAGGGTTTGTGCAAAGACACTGGGTGGCATTTAAAGTAACAGGAGCAATGAGATGGCATGTTGTAATCTGATCATTAATGAACATTAATATCGATATTAAAGAGCATGTTTTTTTGCAGTGGTTAATTATGATAAAGTGAACATGCCTGCTCATTGATCCAGCCTTGTAGAATGCCCCCATGCTACCTCTAGATTTAGGGGAGAAAGGAAAAATAAAATTTGAGGTCAAATACACTGAAATATACTTGTCATTATGCCCATTTAGTATTTAGAAGGCTTCCATGACAAATTCCCTCAAACAGCTCTGCCCTGGTAAACATGTCACAGGCCAGGTTTACACATATGTTAAGGGCCTGCTGGTCTGACAGAGAAGATAGTTAACCCCTCAAAAAGCAGGAGGCAAAAAAAAAACAAAACCCTAACACTAAAGTCACAGGCAGACACATAAGGTGGTAGCTGCAAACTAAGTCAAATGGCAAAACATGAAGTAACAGACAGCCATGACTCTTCAGATGACAGAAGGCGCTTGAATGCATCGGCATAAACAAAACATCCTTATGAAAAAAGGGTAATTTTGAGGAGAGAAAAAAAAAACAGCATTCTCTTGACTGTAGGTAGTGGGTTACATTTCAAATACACTTCAAAACCAAACTGTCCCAGTTTGATCTCAAATGTGTATAAAACCACATGAAAGTGCATTACGAAGTGAGGGAAATGTAGCAGTAAGATCCCTAATAGTGTTTGCATTGTCGACTACTTCATAGTTATGAGTTCTGTAAATGTATTTGGCATTTATGTCAAGAAATAATGGTAAGCTATTTGTGCTTTCAATTTAGTGTAAGGGGGATTTTGCAATTCACAACAGTACATCCTGTATATATTTATATACAATGCTTAAAAAAAAAAAGCCACCTATCAAGCTTGTAAGTCTTCACTTTATATAAAGCAACAACCAGCTCATACAGAAAGCCCTTTGTCCAAATGTTTCCTATTGCAAAACACTATTCATAGATTACCATCAAGCATATAGCCCACCTACACAGACAGGCATAGGTAGTGACTTGGACACCTGGCAGTATACTTTTCATCATATTTTAAAAGCAATTCAATACTTGTATTGTGCTCGACACTACTGTCGACATGTTTCTAGTCAGATCAACGCATTCATCCTAGAAATTTTACTGTTAACACAACACTGAATGAATGCCCCACTAATCAGTGTGTTGTCAGTTAGGTACTACTTACACAGCAAGCCACAGTGGAGCTGTTTTAAAGGACATTGATAAATGCTTGGTTAGGATGTGCACACATCTTTTAAATGCACTGTGTGTTTACACTTGGCCAAACGTGGAGTATTCATCTGTAAATAAACTCCGTAAACTTAATACTGATCGCCACAGGGACCACCACAAGTACATCACATGTAGGATACTACAGTAGATTTCAGTTTAACATATAATGAAGTTTGGCCAAGCCAAGAGCTCTGGAGGTTAGACTGTAAAACAAACTTGACTTTGGCACATCAATGCACATCTGAAGCTATTCAGTATTTCCTAAGCTACTGCAGGTCTGTGTGAGACTCAGGAAATGCATCAAGCTGACAGCAGGGTGGCCATATCTACCAAATAAATGCTGTTACAACCTGGAAGTACTCCAAGAAGGTCCAATTACAACACTGGTGGAAACTGCAGCTGGGAGACTGTGAAAACAAATCAGACAGTTCATACAGTAACAATTACATTTGGCCTTAGGAGTTGAAATCTGTTGTTTTGTATATCATGTCTTGCTTCTAACCGGATGTTACTGTACAGTCTGAATGTACATGCTTAAAAGCAACGAGGCAAAAAAGATCTTTATGTTCCTTTCTATAAAAATTGACCTTTTTGAGAAAGTAAAGGGACGAGTAAGAAAACCGAGCACTGAGTTAGAGGAGAAGGATTCCATCTAGATTCACAGCAATACTCCAACTGTCAATAACAAACACAAACAATCTCACACACACCACTGCACATCACCACCACACTCCTCCATTGTCTATAGAGTAACAATAAATGTAGGATTTCACAGAAATAATAAAATGTTAACAAAGTGCAAACACAGCTGCCATTATTGAAATGTGGCAAATTGTCAAAAACCTCAAAATACCTCCCGAGGCGGTAGCACAAATCTTACAAAATAGTAACTGTTCTTTCTGTAGTGTGTAAAAAAAAAAGGAAGAAAAGAAAAAATGACAACACCCAACAACATCAAAAACATCAAATTGAAAATGAAGTTTGTGTGTTGGAACACATGGTTTGTGAGCCAGTAAGATTTCCACAGGAAAACTGTTACTGCCTGGGGCCCGTTGGCTTGTCCTCTAATTCTCTGAAGCCTCACGATGAGACAAGTGCAGCAGAGAGTCTGGTGGTGGGTGAGTGGATGGAGGCCGGGGTCACACAGGCTTAGAGTAGCCAAAGATTCCCACCGGGAAGTGCTTGACATGAGTTGGCCACTGAGCAGCGAGCTGGAAAAACTTGACATCGTTCCACTCCACTCCGTCAATAGTGACTAAGGACAAAAAAGCTCATAGTTAAAAGATGAACAGATAAAGAACACAACAAAAATGTCAACCCATGCTTGAGAATTCTGAGAAGAGCAGATGGTTTGTTTGCATAACCACAGAGTAGTGAGGTGTGTCCTGGCTGCTGACACCAGATGGCAGTGTGGTGTCAGCTGTCGGCCTTACCTCTTAGCATCGTGTGCTGGTGCTTGGCTGTGCAGATCAACCTGCTGATGCCATCAATCACTTGGCTCTTAGAGTCCAGCTCTTTCTCCTTGGGCTTCTTGCTGAGAAAAATCACTGTAAAGGGAGGTGGGCAGTGAGTCATAAAAAACACTTCACTTTTTTGTATTTAGAGGGGAACTCCAACTGATTCACATCACACATCAAAGTGTTTAAAGGCTGCAAAGAGAGGTGCATCAATTCTAATGAATGGCCTCGTGATGTCACTTGAGTTGGTTGGGGCTGAAAGCTAGTTTGGAAAAAAAATTCTTATGTCATCTCTGTAACCACACTCTTCATCCCTGCGTGCAGCTTTTTACTGTTCATTGTGAGTCCAAGGAATGCTACAGGAATACAAAAACCTCTCATCTGCATCCGAGTACCAAAGTTTTGTTGCATTTTGTTGGCTAACATTACAAATGCATTCCAACTAAATATTGTGCTTACATGTCAGGCTATTAATGTGTCACTAGGTGCACAATGTCACTCATCTTCCCCAAGTGTACCTTTCTTGTTCTTCTCCTTGGTGACCACAGTCATGGCCATGCTGGGTGGAGGGGTGAGTTCCCCTCCACAGGGGAGGCGGCTGACTTGCAGTGAACGGAAGTTACTCTTCAAGGTGTTCTTCAATCCCACATCTCTTTTCTCTCCCTCTTTCTTCTTCTCTGGGCCTTGCCAGGTCCAGTAGTCCACCTGGAGCCCCATCACCTCACTGCCTGAACACGGAGAGCTACGAAGAAAAACAGGCATCACCTCGTCTCTAAAACACAGTAAAAGCTACAGTGAAAAGTTTTTGTTTGTTCTTGTTAATAAGTGATCTGAGTCTTGTCATACCCAGCTCCAGACAGGGTGGTGGACACAGAGGGAGACTGTGGGGGGGTGCCCCCGATCTCCTTCCCATACGGACCAGCCGATGGAGGTGTTGGGGAGGACAGGATACTTGTGTTGCCCCCCATTGCATCATCTGAATCCACTGCAAATTGGGGGCGGGGAAAATAATCTCATGCAACACACCTAGTAACGCTCCACAATGTAGCAAAATGATATGCATTGCTTGCCAGGGTGTATATATATCAACTGTAGCTGTAATCATGTAAATAAAGTAAAACAAATGCAACAACATTGTGGCTTGGGTCATTTTCTTCTTTCCTGATCTGAATCTGTACTCAAGTAACATCTGCATTTTATTAGATTTCTGCCTCAGCGCACAGAATCAACTGTAAAATGTTTGACGCACTAATCAGACAAAATACTACCACACCTTTAAATGCCCTTTACCTGAGGTTGAGAGGCTTTGCTCCACAATTCCAACTTTTACCACCTGTAATAATAATGTCAGTGTAAAACAAAATGGAAAAAAAAGAGAAAAAATCTGCTTAGCACATACAACAAACAAAACAAATTCTTACCCCAATAAATGGCACAAATTTCTGACAGGAGTCCTCGTCAGGGCTGTAGAGAGAGAATGAAGGTGCTGTGAGTATGACCAGATGTGGGTTTGACCACTTTAACACTCCAGAAGTGCACATGAACACTAAATGGTCCTGGAGGGAAGATGGCTGTGGCACGGCCTGCGCCATACTCCATCACAGCAGAAATGGCACATGACTGGCTTGAGTGGAATGGGGTCATCTTGGGGTCACGTTACAATGAGATGAATGAGAGGGCCGCTCCTTACAACCAAAACAAGACGGGGTCTCTCTTACCAGACAGTGTTCAGACAATGTATGTTTTATACATGGGCTAGTTTGGGCCCAGCTGTAGTAACCATGTGGCTACGTTACACTACTACTCTGAAGCATGTTAGCACTTCAACAATACATGCCTATACAAAGATAGGGAAGAAGAAAAAATCAAGATGCCAGTCATTGTTAGTTTAGGTTTAATACACGCAAGCCTTGACAACAGATTCAAATAAGTAAAAATAGACCTATCGATCCAGCACGGAAGAAGTGATGTACACTATTACCTTTCTGCAAATGTCATATAACACAAGGTCCCCATCTCCTAAACTAGCTAGTGGGTCATTCTAAATGACATCTATTTGCTTAACTCTGCTGGATGTATGAGCCAGAAAACCATTCCACTTTGTGAATAAATGGGGGTGTTAGAGGTTGTTAGGCAAATCTTCACAGCACCAACACAGAGGACTGAATAAGAATCAAGTCACAAACCAGACACACACATCAGAACAGAGTGTGAAGTGAAGTTACAGTGAGTAGCAAATGTAAAAAGGGAAATGTTAGACACAGCAAGGACCTCACGCCAAATGGAAGAGAGAAAATAAAAAGGGCAAAACAAGAGTTGAATTAGATACCTGATGTAAAAATCAAAATACAAACTTCTTTTCCTTGAATGCAAAATAAAAGGGAAAAGGGGAAGAAGGAATGCAACAGCGTTAAAAAGTGTGTACCTTCTGACCAATAGGAAGCCACTCTTACAAAGAGGGGAAGGGTTTGGTCAAACCTCAGAAAGAAAACAAGCAAATGCACACAGAAATGCAACGGAGTGTCTGCTGAGCACGTCTGTGTTTGTGAGACGACTGGGTCGATGCGGTACTTTGTCAAAATAGGGACCTGAGCTAATCTGACAATTTAACTCAAATTCAATAACTGACCATTAATGTTTTTAATCAAACAGTGAATGTACTGTATGTGCCTGTAGCTGCATGCTTGCCATGCATATGCATTTAGGTATCGTCCTCATGCAGTTGAGCTGATATTCACTTGAAGTGGTGAAGTCCTAATGATGGGCTGACCAGTCATAGCCATTTGTTCTAGGACTCATTTTAATGAGAGAAAATAGAGGAACAATAATAACAGTAGTCCAAGTCAGAAATTATTCCAACAGGTGCGTGCACAAAAACATACATGCAAAACACTGACAAACATATGCAACACACGGGTATGCTCAAACGTAAATAATCAAAGTTACTTTACCTCTTCTGTTTGTAGGTGAGCATGGCTTCTGAGATGGGGAACTGGTGGGACACGTTGGCACCGGCCAGATACTGAATGACTCGTCCTGCTACATCTATGTTATCTGCAGGAAGCAGACAGACACAGTGTTAACAACATGCCTTTTGTGTTTCATGTCCCACTACAACCCTAAATCATGAAAAGTTGGGACAGTAGGTAAAATGAAAATTAAAACTGAAAATAGTGATTTGTAAATCATCTGTGTCCTGTATTATATTGAAAAACTATACAGCAGCACATTATTTGATGTGACACCTCCCAACATTTTCTGATATGGAGTTGTAAGAACCTGTAAGACAACTGATGCAAGTGTTAATTCTCACATACAGCAGATCATTAGAAGACCTCACATTACATTTCACTGAATTAAGGGGGCAGGTGTGCTGAGTGTAAAATGTCTTTTACACGTGGGGGAAGTCAGGCATGCTACACATACGATAAATGGTGTGTCAAACAGAAGGTCTGTGGGCTAAGTGCAGCTCGGAAAATAGTTCTGGCAACTTGAAAATGTGAAAACAGATTTTCCATCAATTTATTGATCCATTGCCTGTCTGCAGTTTAAACTAATTCTTCTTGTGAAAGAAAACACACAACAACAACTATCCAAACACTGCCATTTGTGCTGAGAAAACAGTTTCTAGCTAGAATGTCTGAATTAATGGGAAAAAGATGGAAGATCTAGTACTTTACTTTTAAAAAAAAATTTCCTTGCAAATATTTCTCAGATGATTCAAACTGGTGTGCAACTCTTGCACCTTTTGGAATAAATTAAGTGAACAAACCGGTGGGGAAGGGTGAAGATTATTAGGCTTTTTTGGGCAAAATAAGGGAGAACTGAGTAAAAGGATGAACATGGATTTGTGTCTGTGTGCCACAAATTATAAGACTTACAATTTATAATTTAAACCAATTAGGAAAACAGCTTTATTTATACAACACAGTCCTAAAATAAAAAGTGTAATAATGACAATGTCATAATTTTGCTTCTTGGATTACATTTTATTCATTTACTGGTGCTATTTTTTTAAATAGCATAAGGCTAAAAATATAAAATATTTGTAAAGTGAAAAAAAAAAAAAATTCAATATCACAGTTATGACAACCTTTATGGAAAATATGTAAGTCAGACATCTGGCAGCCAGACTTAAGGGGGTTGTCTTAGGCAGCAGCAGATGGGTCGAGCTATAACGTAGAGCCATTCACTACAGAAATCGCTTCTTGCCATCTATCAGCCCTTGACCCGTGTTCTAACCCCCTATCTTTCCCTTTCAAGTTGGCTGAACATTAAACACATGGACTTGCTTTGCAGCCAGAAACCTGAGCGATGCGCCACTACCTGAGGCGGGCCGTTCCGTCCTGCAGAACAGCTCCCTCCATGCAGTGTCCATAAAGATGCTGTTAAACCTGCTGTCAAAGGAGGCCACATACTTGGCCAGGGGATGAGAACCTGTGTAGAGGAAATGTTCATGTTACGGTGAAAATACATAGCAGGTTATTTGCTATAAAAGTTGTGCTAATTGTTGCTGACTTACCTATGGGGATCACCAGGAAGCGGATGTAACTGAGCCAGTCAGGTGTTTTGTTGGCCAGCTGCTCCACAAAGAACCTCAGGATGGTGCTGAGGTAACTCTGATCACCTGCCACTGCCACCTTCATCGTCGGTGGTGTCTGTGCGTTACAGTTACAGCTGCAAGGGTTAAAACAAGGAGAAAAGGAATGAGTAATTAAGAGAAAGAGAGTTTTAAATCATGGCAGATGTGGGTCAGAGAGGGTGTGTGGCAGAGAAATGCTGGCTGTCTGAAGATTTAAGTCTCAACAAAGATTTTCCTGGTTTAAAACCAGTCTTACCATTTTTTATTATACTTTGAGATAACAAGGTTCTTGCAACTATCTGCAAGCTTTTCTCAAGTTAAACTGAATAGTACAATGCCTCTTAGCTTTTCTAATTTGTAATCCTGCAATGACAACATGAAACCAATTTCAACTTTAAAATGAGTCTGGAAAAGAAACTGAAACTCAGCTCAGTCTAACTGGGCTCATTAACTGCTCAGGCATTAAAACCTTAAAATGACTTCAAGTTTAACAAATATATTTTTAAACAGCATTCAGAGTTGTATGTTTTACAAGTAATTGCATTCTGCTTGTTTTAAGCACTGACTTTGGAACTTTGAAGGTAAAAGTTTCAAGAATTGAGACAAAGTTAAAGTAGTACAACTGTACTGCTCAATAGTAGAATGGGACTTAAAAATATGTGGGTTTCAGAATGTCTCTACTCTCAGAGACAACATCTGAGGAGAAACCCTGTAGCCAGCTACAACAGTGACAGCACTGCACAAACATGTTAACATCAGAGGTGCACAGCACATGGCCCCAGCTGGAGTAAACAGGCTGACTGATGGACAGGTGTGGAAAGAGTGCAGAAAGATTAAAGAGAAAACAGTTTAAACAGAAGCATCCCAGCACACTGAGACAGCCTCGTCTCCCACTGAGAGAAGACTTCCTGAGGAGAAGGCAGCCAAGCGGATAGACCGAAGAAAGACAGAAGAAGGCTGAACTATAGCTTTTCATGAGAAAACAGGCAGCAGCATGAGCCATGAGCAAAAGCATCCTGGAATTCTCTGACACTGAGCCACCATAAACATACACAGTTTGGTGAGGACTAGTCAAGCAACAGGATCACACTGATGGCTTGTGTCACTCAGCCTTCACATGTGTTTGTATGTATTTGACTCACAATCTCTGGATGCGAGTAACGATGGTGTTGAAGGCAGCCTGAACATCAGCAGCAGAGCAGGTGGACACAATGGGCTGGCCCTGTTCATGGAGCAACTCGGCTACATACTGCGCAGAAACACACACGAGAGGGACACGATGAGTTAATGGATATATAAAAGCCTGGGTTGGTAGGGTTGGAAAGGAAGCAGGAAAAACATGGGGTACACACAGTGTACACCCTCTAATCACTATGGTTTATATTTGTACAATAATGTTAGAAAATCATTACAGCATCTCTTGGAATTAAGTCTTATCCTGCACGACCCACATTTTTCTACAGTTTATATGAAAAGATGAGGGCAAGTGTTTATGATGGTATGTTAAATACAGAAATACACACACCTGTCCTTGCCACTCTGTAGTGTTGATGAGGATGATGCTCTCTGGGAGGCGTTCGTCAGAGATGAGGATCTGGTTCAGCTGGTCATACACAGACTTCCTGGGAACCTTTGAGACAAATGAGAAGCAGATACTTGGCACAAGCCAGCATGTTTCCAGTGGACAAAAAACATCTATAAAGAACAGATCAACGGCTTGATATTGAACCTGTGTGTTGTTCACCTGTGCTATGAGGCGCGAGTCTGGGGAGCACTCGCTCTCCATGCTGCTGGTCCTGTCACTTTGTGCCTTGGAGTTCTGTCTGTCTTTCATGGAGGTGCTGCGAGGATGCCTCTGCAGCTTGTTCTCCATTTTACTGAGGAGATAAAATACATGACATGGGAATTTAGAAGAAAGACCTAGTCCAAAGCACACATTAAAAAAGTAACTTGTGTGCATACATATTGACATACTGTAACACTATTTTGTGTGTGTGTTCTCAGCTGTGGGGACGAGCTGTTTACCTGGGAGACATGTGGTTCTGGGACTCCGTCTTACAAAGTTTGGCAACAGTGCTGGTTATCCGTTCAGTGCTGACATCCCAGCTGCTCACCTCTCCTGGCCCCGGCCCACTGTCATCAGTCTCTGGTTCCTGAACCAAAACAGGGAGAGCAAAGATGAGACAAGAGGACAATACTGACGTTTATTATACAACAAAGGCATGTCCCATCAAATTACACCAGTGTCTCTGAATCTTCAGTTACATTCTTTATTCCTTCTGTGTTCTGTGTTTGCAGCCAGCGTTCTGAAAGAGCTGAGGTAATACTGGCCCAGTGATTAATGGAGCTTAGCTGTTGAGGCTGGAAATAATAATGCAAGCCCACCATGACAGACTAGATAAAAAGCCACGATCTCTAAGCAGGTGTCTGAGGGAACACTGTTCCCACAGCACAGATACTCAGCTTGAACTGGGTTAGTGGCCGGGCTTAGATGTACAAGGCTGGCCTGACCTGACAGCATAAAAACAACAAACACAAACCCCCCTCTTTCGATGCTCATCAGCCAAGACTTATCCAGCATGGGGCTGTCTCGTCTGCTCTACTGATCCATAATGGATAACTGTGCTGTTTCATTTGTTTGCCTCTCAGTACTCCTCCTGTCCTTGCTTTTTCTCAGAAAACAACTAAGCCCCGTGGGAGGAAAGGGCACTGAGTGGAGAGGGTCGGGGGTTAGGAAAAAAAAAAAAAAATCAGGGGGATGTTAAAAAAAAAAAAAAAAACACTTTTAAACCACTGCTGTGCCAAAAACATACCCCAACTATTGTGTCTGTGAGGCTGTCATCTTGATACCGGGCCCTTTGCACTTTACATCTGTCCACGGTCAGAAAGTCTCCAGTCTGCAGGGTAAACACACACACACACACACATGTCAGAACATTTTAACCAAGAGGTTGCTTCTCTGCTGAATATAAATGACAAAATCTCACAGCTCCGAATGGGAGTGCTATGCTCCATATGTTCAGATACAAATTCAGGTACAGAACAATTTCACAGTGGTACCTCTACACAGTCTAGGCTGGTGACAGTCACAGAGCTGGCGAATGTAAATTTAAAAATATCTGTTTTACTACAACTGCGTACTAATACATAAACTCCATAAGTATAAGTGAGACATTGGTTTACTCAACTAAAAGCTTATCTAGTTTAATTCATTTCAATATTTGATCAAAGACTTTCCACTCTAAGACGTGTTTGTGAAGTTCAAGTGGAGACATTTATTGAGCAAAGTGGAGGGCGATAGCAGCCTGAAATACTCCGGGTCGTTTTATTACAGGCTAAAATGGATTCCCAGATATTTATTAGCAGCACTCCCTTTCTCATCATCAGACTCAACTTGTCTCGCTCTCTTTATCTGCCGTTGTTGATTCCAATGGGCCATAAATTTCTGAGTAGGAGTTTAGGAATTGCTCCATCCAATCTTCTCTCATATTTCTGTCTGTCTGTGAGTGTGTTGATGGCAGAGGTCATTTGGTGCCAGTCCCTATAAATACTAGAGAGCTGTAGGGGTGAACAGGGTAAGGACAGCAAGCCCCCATCCTATTCCGCAGCGGTGGGAGCTGGTGGGCTGCATTGCGCTCATGCCCAGAATAGCTTGCCTGTCGAATCATGGACCTTGGGAATCCCTGAACCACAGTAAGCACAGAAGAGTGCCAAACATTTAAAGACTGCCCAGGGGCCATTCCTTTACACGACACTCAGCAACTGAGAGGCAGAACTTTATGGGTAAACATCAGTGCTGCAAAAAATACTAGAGGGGTCTGTTAATAGACTGACTGGTGATCAGCTTACAGGACATGACAGCTCTCTCTGCTGGCTTTTTTGGCTGTGTATGCTTCCAATTTCTGTCTGGGAGCTGGAGTGAGACATCCCTTCAAAAAACGGCCTGAAGACAGACAAAATGATGTGAATTAGAGAAAACTCACAACCTGGACACAATTCTTTTGTTCAGACATTACTTCTGGGCAGTTTCATTTGAAGGACTATAGATATTTTGTGAATACTTAACACTTTTTCTTCATTATTTGCCAGCAAATCTAAATTTCTGATTTCAGGTTTCAATCTAAAACCGTATATAGAAATAATTCATGATCTAGAACTATTAGACAATTTATGAAATTATTGTCTTTGGGGAAAGAGGTCGAGTAGAGACACACTTGAGTTTGGGCTTGGGTGTGCTCAGAACGCTTTCATTGTCCTCCATCTCTGGCCCACTGTCGCTCTGGTTGTATACTTCCAGACTGTCGTAGAGTAAGTCCAGATCCTCCTCCACCTCCCGGGTCTGATCTACTGGGTCAGAGTCCAGCACCTGCCATACAGGGTAAACACATTATCAACATGCCAGCACACTGTAACCAGGGATTTGTAGTTATTAAAGTTTAGGGAGTGTCTATTTCTGTTCATTAGCTGATCACTTCATAGCTGGGCTAATGGAGCCTAAAAAATGAACAAGAGCCCTGAAGGCTGTTCAGTGAGAAAATCTATGCTATAAATACATCCCTGCCTTGCTCCTAAGCAGGCCAATTAAAAGGTGAGTGCTAGAGGAAAGCTAAGGTGCTGAACTTTGATCTGCCAGCTGCGCGGTGGGGATGTATATCATAGGAACTGCGCACAGCCAGGCTAGTGGACTAATCAGGTGATTAATGCCACTCCATAAGTGCAGGAGCTGGCAGGAAGCAGATAAACACAGTCTGTCCCCTCTCCTACTATGCTATGTATTTATAGAGCTGTAGCACACTGCACAGCCACAAGGAAGGGATTAGAGACAGGGAGTGTGATAAAAGATCATCTGACCACCTGGAGCATCCAGAACCACCCAGCAAAGTGCAACTCTGATGGCCTAGAGGTTCTTGTAAACATCGCTGGTGAAATTACTCCCACAATTTTCTTGGTCCTGAGTGTTCAAAATGAATATAACCCTAAAGGGGTGACTAAAAAGGTACAACAAATCCTCAATCAGACTGAACACCTACATGGCTAAAAATAATATTTTATATGTCTTTGCTGTTTTTGACATCGGAAAGAATAAGAAAGAGAAGAAACAAGGCAATGGATATCTGAATCATGTCTATAGATTTCTCAGTCCAGTGGTAATTATTATCATTATAATGGCCCAACACAGATTATGCAATAATGTTGCACACAAACAGATCCTGCTGATGAACTGATTACAAGCTTTTATGTAGAATCCACAAAAATAATTATTCAGAAGCACCAAGTAAGAAAAACAATCAAGCATAAGAGCGTACATTTATCATTAAACTAAGTGGCAGAGAATAAGGTTGTTAATGGATTCTGCATACAAATGGAAATGTATGAATCACCAATCCATGAGCACAGACATAATGGAGGTTAGTACCATAATGTAACTCTGCTGGGGTCGTGATCATTTCGCAGACAGTTCTTCCCCAGTCAGGAGCGCATTAGTGGTGATGTAGCAATATGCTCTTTAACAGTCAATACTGAGATAGTTCTCTCCTGGCCCAAGGGCAATTTAATATCTGATATGTTTCACAGCTCACTTACTTAAAGCTTCATCACTGAAGGCCTGAGAAATTCCAGGAGGATGCACTGGGAGCGATGCCGTCCCCTTTACATTTCACCAAATCATTTGCTCTCACAGTGAACATGTTCGCTTTGGTGTCAACCGGAATAAAGGCAGTTATCCTTTTTAGCAGCTCACCTCATCTGTCACCTTGAACCTCTTCAGCAAGGCCACAAACTTCTGCTTAAAGTTTGGTTGCTGTAACAGAAAGATGTAATTTATGATGAAAATAAATCCCTGAAAATGAATAACTGTCATGATTAAATAGGTATGACAGCTGCCCTCAGGCTTAACAGCTCTCCTAGTAACTGTCTACTGGATTACTCATTGACAGCCACCCTATGTAAAGACCATTATAACCAGTCCAGTAAACCCACAGTGTTCATTTAAATGTTCATCCACATTGTCCTAATGGCTTGAAGAAATGGAATGCAGTGTGCTCCTTCTTTTAAAAGCAAACACACATCTTGTGTTATTCTCACAGTCAATTACTTGTGAGCATAAAACATGTGGCGGAAAAAGGACGCAACTAACTCTGGTCATGGAGGTGGTTCGGATCATTTTCCTCCGGGCTTTCTTTGGCTTCCTGACTTCATCATCTTCATCGTAAAGATCCTGAAATACAGAAATGATAAGGCATCTGAAATCTCAATACCAAAGTACTTACTTTACAGTAAAAATGAATAAATATACATTATTAAAAAAAAAACTAACAGGACAACAGTTTCTGACAAAAATCTGCAATCCAAACGTCTTTCTTCGCATACTGTACCTAAATATGCAAACTGTGTTCAGTATAACAATTAGACTCATTCATATTCAAAGGGTACTGAAAATTTGTCTGCACTTAAGTACAGTATATTCTTATACTGACCTGGCCCTGAACTGCATCATCACTGGCTTCCTGCTCTGACGAGTAGCTGTCATCGTCCTCCTCAGAGTAATTATCCATGTCTGGGGAGCGGTCTGAGAAAGGGGAACCCAGAAACAGACACACACACACACACAAAAAACCAACACATTAGAATACAGGGATACATGTCTACCATTATGTTAGACTGAGACAAGTGGGGTTTATAAGTTGAACTAGAAGGTGAGCAGAAATCCAAGCTCACAGCCTTATTAGTGTTGAAACTCAAATGCAATGTTCTCTGGGGAAAAGGAAATCCTATAGGAAGCAATTTGTTCTGAGTGACACCAAGCCTCCTTAAATATAGAATCTTAGCCTTTTCAGTAAATGTTCTTACACTTGCACAGAAAAAAGTGTTAAATATACAAGGTGGTATCAGTCGATAATATTGTAAATGATACAGTACATCAGTGTGCTGAGTTTTTTTTTTTTTTTTTAACATATCCATCCATTATCTATACCATTTATTCCTAAACAGGGTCGCGGGAGTGTCGGAGCCAATCCCAGCTCAGAACCTGTCACCCTCTTTTTACATATCAAGGTAAGATAAAGAATTTTCCACCTTCTGTGGATAAGAGGCTCATTTTGGAATCCATGTCTCATATTCTGAGTTATAACCACATTGTAGTGGCTGAAGCATTTATTATTGTTCTTTTGATATTGTACATTTTTCCCCTAAAGAAGTAGATTTTACTAAGTGTTTGACACCTGAAGACAGATCAATTGATGGAAAACCTTTTTTCTTAAAGCTAATTCAGACTTCCTTCTGGCCATGAAGCATCCTGTTCTATGTTCCTAGAAGGAATGGATGTTGTTTAAGAATCACTGCAGAAAAGAGAAAGATAAACATCTTTCCATTCCTCAGAGTGACACTAGTATAATAGTTAGTGCATGAGATCATCTGTTATGTTTGAGTGGCCTTCTTAATAACATCCAGAAAAGTGAGGGAACAACATAGCAGGACAAAGACATGGAGTCCAAGATGGGCCAAATATTTCCCCATTTGTTTAAAAAACAAGAAAAAATAAGAAAAAAAAGTAGATTAGTGTATGATAATAGGCCCTACATCTGTTCAACTCTCATATTCAACATTACAACCATAACTGAAAAGAATAACATACCCTTGGCCATAATTTGGCCTGGGAATAATAGTTGATTCTGTCCTCAATTGGGAAATAGAAGCCATGTGGAAGGCGGGAAGTGAGAGGCCTGATCGGGTGGGAAGCTCCAAGTTGGAGGGTGAAATTAAAGGCAGGATTTGGCAGCAAGGGCACAGGCTTTTCTAAGAGACCTGCGCAGAGGGAGAGACTGTGCCCACCTGAGGTTTTGGTCTTGCGGCCAGCCTGGCCACTGCCGTCCTCATGGTCGATTGGTTGGCTGGACAGAGAATACACGCTGATCTCCGCCACACGCACTGGCGCCTCCTTCACGTTGCTATGGAGACCTAGAATCTGTCCTCCGTCTGTCGGGTGTTGCATCACCTGGACACAGGAAAATCAACAGTGAGGCTGGGCATCGATTTCAACTCAACTTCAAGTCCTCTTTAGCTGAGATGCCTTCATGTCTTGTGCAATTCCTGTGTCTCTCAATCACCGAGGAGGACCATGTCAAAGAAGCATGGAACAAATATTATTTCCCCAGCAGACAGACAGGATGGGTAAACCATATCGCTCTCTTCCCAGAGCCAATACTGATCCAGCAGAGCTTGAGATGGCTTCTATTACACTGAGATGGCTTCTATTACACCGCCTCATGCTTGCAGAGATTTACCACCTGATTACAAGCTGACAGCTATGCTATCTTTAAATAAATCGGCACAATACTGCCTTCCCATTAAGAAAGTCTAACTGAGCCGAGCCAATTTGCTGATCTTATCCAGTCAAAACATAGTTTACATCACCTGTTTTGAATCAAATAAGAAGGGATGAACTTTCATTCTAAGCACTATCTGGGGGGTACTTTCCATATGTCGCTTGATGAATCATTGTACTGGGACTAGGCTCATTTTGGTCAAACATTGGCAGGGGTGCACTTTACAGCTCCATGCAAAGTCCAATAAGTGACATCCTCTCACATAATGCCCTGACAGATTCAAAATGAGGGCACAAGAGGCTTTACCATACATCAGATGGCAACATAATCACCCAGCAGGATCCAGTAATGGCCAATCTAGCTTTATTCATAGAAGGCTGTGGGTTATTTTACAGTAGTGTGCACAAAACAGCACGGCAGCTGAGTGGTATTTTAAAATGCAATAATACATTAGTCTTATTTTTAGATGTCAGTTAGTTTGTCTTGTGGCTACTACTACAAAGTAACTTTGGCTGACCAGGGACGGCGCAACAGCTGCTGAAATTAACACTGAGTTTTTCCACTGCAAACCAAATGGTTCTCAATATCTATGCTTAAAGCTCTGTCTTCTTCTCAATCTCTCTCACACACATTCATTGTTTTGCATCTTCCATATGAAGCTCACTTTTCAATACTTCATTTTATTTCACTCCATGATAGTATACCTACTATTAAAATGTCCTCTGGAAACACCTTGGTTGCGAGTCAGTGATCCATAGCACAATTAACAGCAGCAGCTATTTACATTTGTGTTATCCACACTGACAACAGACATTCATAAGAAAAGCAAACAGAGCCACTTAGGGTATTAAAAAAGACATCTTGATGAACCAGAGATATGATGTACTGTGACGAACTTAACAGTGCATCTGTACATTAAGCAAAGATGCACACTGGGGATTACATTAGCTGCATAGCATGGCTGAATACACTGCAGAAAAGTTCACATGAAGCCAGCTCCAGATGGTACCATAATCTCACACAGCAGTATGTGTGATAAGAATGAATCATGTGAAATGATGTTTAGCACAGGAGGCCCCTCTCTCTCTCTGGCAGTGGAGCCATTGGTACACAGACACTAAGAGCCATGTCACTCACTGTCAGAAAAAAGCAGGATGCAATCGCAAGCTCGGAGTGAAATGATACACTTCTCAGGAAGAAGTAAAATGGCTGACGCCCTGGTACCTCAGCCATATTGATAACTCCCACAGCCAAAGTCTTGTAGCCCAGGATGGTTCGATTCTTGTAGCGTTTCCTCCTCTGCAACATAATCTGCAGTCTGTTGGCATCCCTCTTCAGAAAATGGGGATACTGAAAAGAACAAACATAAAGTTAGACAAACAATGATTGATTGATTGATTGATTTATTCTTTCAAACATGCAGAACAGAACAGAACAATGAACAAATGACAATAACACACATGATTACACATATCCAACCAATACTAATTCAAAATCAGTTTGCTTACACCTATTACATGTTTGAATGGAGTAGGAAGAAGTCAAACTTATCCAGTCCTACCCCATGACATCATATTATACAAAATTTATGCAACATTGGCTGCAAGCAATATCACTACATAGATAAAACAGATTGTTACTTATTCGTGCATATATCTTGTATAGCACATACATTTATATTTATATTTAAACTCCTTAATTCTGGTACTATTTTTCATGTCCACAGTTAAGTTATTCCATAGTTTGACCCCACTTATAGAAATACAAAATCTTTTTTTGGTTGTTCGTATAGCATGAACTTTTAAATTTAAATGTCCCCTTAAGTTATATCCCCCTTCCCTTTCACCAAATAGCTTTTGGATTCCACCAGGTAATAAATTGTTCCTGGCTTTATACATAAACACAGCAGTCTTATATCCCACTAAATCAAAGAATTTTAACAATTTAGACTGTATGAAAACTACATTTGTATGATCCCTATACCCCATCTTGTGCACAACTCTTATCGCTCTCTTCTGTAATATGTACAATGGTTGAAGTGAACTCCTGTATGTACAATGTAAACTGCATTATACTTATATTCATTAGTCTTTAGATTGATAACCAAACCCAAACAGATATATTTCAGCATATTCAATTTGTCTTTGTTGCACTATAACAATACTACATTTTCAATGAAAGCAAATATTTATTTTCAGATTCTTTTTCTTGTAAATTGCATTTTTTTAAACTTACTACAACCTACACTGATCTGTGTGTGGTGATGCTGTAGAGATATCACACACCTGGGCCAAGTCCATAAGAATATATACAGCTACAAACTCACTGTACTCAGATACCGGCAATGAACCAACATAGTGTCTCTGCCTCTCATTTCAGAGCTACTTCACACTCGCTCTTTTTATCCTATGTATCTCTTTTTTCTGGGGTCATATATGCTGTTTTTCCACTGTCGGAACCTAGCCAGCGATATACACCGTACTTCGCCCTGCATAACCTCCTGGGTTGACGCACACTATCCTGCTTTGTTTTTCCATTATATTTTCTCTATGTCAGTCTCTGTTTAGAGGAGGGAGGGCCAGCGCCCCATCACACACGCAGTCAGCTGAGCAGACGGAGAACACAGCGTGTGGAGGACCACTCCACAGTACAACAATCAGCCAGTAACGGAGACTGAATGAGCCGTTTATCAAACAGCTGTTGAACAGGCAGAACACAGACTTGCAGTAATGTGACGTCTTCACTTTGCCCGCGGTGTACTCACCTGTTTTACCCCTAAACCAGTATAAGAGCCTCTTTACACAGCCTGCTTGTAATGCTAATGATCTTGTGTGAAGGCGCAGATATTTAACCAATCATGGACGACTGCTCTGTGCACACGCACCCCTCCCCCTTTGCCTTCCTGGAACTAGATTTTAGTAGTGCCTCCTGAGGGGTGCTGAAATTTGGCTCCCAGAATGTACCTCCAAAGCGGGCAGAGGGCAGTGGAAACAAACACAGAACCCATGACGAGCGTTACTCTGCTCAAAATGCTTCGGTAGGTTCCTATACTGGAAAAGCCCCTATTGTCTCTGACTGCCAGAACATGATCTTCACATCCACTCTTCTTGGGCTGCTACAATATTCACACAATAACAGATTATAAGATCAAGTTTTAAAAGTTGGTTAAACATTTCTGCTCCAGTTTCATGTCCAACCCTGTCATTTAAATGACCCTGCTTTTTCAGGCTTCACTCAACTGCACAATCATTTCAGCTATCAAGTCTGTTTTACACACCGTGTTCAGGCTTAGTTCACCTCTATAGCTGTACACAACACCCTATCATTAAAAATGTCTGCTTCAGCGACGACTCAGTTCTGTAAAGCATAAAGTTAAGCTTGGAAAACCTTGTATTTCATATCTCCCTGTCCATTTAATCACAAAAGAGCACGGCAATGTGTGATATAGGGTGATTAAAAAAAATAAAGAAACAAAGCCAGATTTCATTTACACACCATACTGTAAACACACATTTTGAACATAACACACTTGCTATCAGGATAAAAATCTAACACCAAAGGTGTGGGATAAAGGCTTTAGCCCAATCCTGCCTGTCAAGTAACTGCCATATCAGTGTGAGAATTCACAGAATAATGTCAGAGTGTTTGCCTGTAGTGAGAATGTGAGCTCCAGATCTGTCTCCATCAGTCCACTGGGTGGGAGGACGTACTCATTTGACCTCAGAAGGCGCTTAGAACCCTGGAAGACACCGTAAAATAAAGTTTATTGGTAAGCAGACATATAAATGATACACACAAACAATTATACATCAGGTTTGTTTTGGCTGTTGGCTTGAAATTGGCACAAATCTCTTCTGGATAAAAATGAACACAGGTTCTGACAGGTGAGTTTTTTCAGTTGATTTAAATTATATTACAGTGAGAGCGGACAAAAAATAATGAATGAAAAACAAGCAAAGACAGAGATTCACAATCTAGAGATTAAATAAAATAAAGTGATGCTGCTTATTTGGTAAATTTGCTTAAGAGCATCACGCACACTAGAACTGGCACCTCTCAAATTATTTATGTCCTTTCTATAAATATAAAAGCTTGGTACGGTACTGCTGCATAAGAGCGGAGACGTGCAGAATGGCTACAGCTGACTGAGTAAACTGTAACATGTCATTTTATGGTGGACTTTATTTTTGAATCTTTGAAAAATCTTCTGGGACTATAACAGAAAAACACAGCAACACCCAACAAAATCTGATCTACTAGTTTTCCATCTATCATTATTTAATAATCACTTTGAAATCAACACAAAAATTAAGCTACACCTAAATTGAATTGAATACAAACCACACAAATCTGAGTCAAAAGCTGTGTTGGCAGTTATAGCTACTCTAAATTAGAGTAATAACCCTTTCTTTTAGCAGATCTAGCGGTTACATAGTTTATTTTAGATTAGAAGCTTAAATTTTCCGAATGTTTGTTACATAAAAATATTATATTATATTTTTCATCTTCAGCAAACAGTTCTAAGAAGACTTAGCTTTGGTCAAAGCTAGCTGTTGTCTTAGCTGTGTAGGTGACAGGATTGGTTATCTTTTTTTAATCTAGAGATTTAACATATTTTCTTTAATAAAGTCATTTAAAAAAAGTCAAAAAAGTAGAGAAAAAAGTCCTTAAAATTCCCCCCCCCCAGACAGTGTTGAGAGAGCTACACTGAATGCATTTTATGTTGTTTCTTGAGCCTACAGAGTATCTATACAGACAATATTGACTGTGTGCAAGCCTTATTTTTGTTCCAGCCTGCTTCATATTCACACATTTATGGAGATTCACACCCTGAGACATCCCAGTACAAACAGTCCTCTACTCCTTCACTGTTTTCTAGAGAAACGTGCTACTAGAACAATATAAATGGGGTCAGATGGAACTGCTCGGGGACATTAAGAGCTTTCCCTA